AGTTAGGCACCGTAAATAATCTGTAAATAATCAACTAAATTATTTAATATTCGCGCCCCGGTATTATCTTCTCGTTCCCAGGCTCGCAACGTCACGGAATCCAATTTCGTCTCTATCATGGACAATGAGTTCATCCCAGCCCCCTCCGACTCAAGCTTTCGTCTGATCAGTTATTGACCAAAAAGTTGTAGATGGCGATACTATCTAGTTGGCCTATTGATATATATAGAACGTACGTATGTACGGGCGCGATCGGCGCGGTCTCCGGCCGACTTTTAAAAGCGGTGTCATTATTAAGTTGTTATGTTGTTGTTGTTGCATTGTACATATATATACGTAAAATAAAGCTTTTACTTGCATTTTCATGTTCTCAGTTATCCATATTTCTTTTATGCAAATTAGTTGACTTTCCATTTTAATAATTTTACACATCATTTTACTATATATTATAACGGAGGCATTTTCTAATAATAATATATTTCTATTCCAACCAATTGGGACATAAAGCTTATCATTGTATTTCAAATCATTAAATGTTAGAGTGCCTGAACGGTCTGAATTTCCTTTCTCTTTGATATCATTACTTTCGTTTAAAGAACTTTTTGTATTTTCTATTATCACGTTATTTTCATTTATAAATTCTGTCCAAGGAAATAACGAAGGTACCACACCTTCCTTAACATAAGGTCTCTTTAATTGAATCTACAAAATCAGTATTAATTGCTCCTCAATTATATTATATATTATTTAATTATAATTGAATTATATTTGAATAATGCAACTGCATTCACATAATGAAATTGTGTATAAGCGATCGAAATGTGTCCGCAAATCGCTTCCAATTTTCTATACGTCCGTCAAACGTGAGCTGCTTTACGACCTGTAACTTGATTCCCGATGGTCTACTCGTTGCGCCATCTGTGGCAGTGAGTTGCAACATCAGTTCGGTTTGCTACTCTACTAACCTTGTTATAGCGTCGTTGGTTACAAGCGACGCTGGCGGCGCACTCGATGAATTAGATCGAACTGCTGCTGTAGCACTTGTGTAATGGCTTCGTTGCTCGCTGATGATTGCGCTTCCGTGATGTTTCGTAACATTTTACTCAATGAAACCCTTTAATTCGAAATGTCGTTCTTCAAAAGACGCTTCTTCGGTGGAATCCACGACCATCACCTCTCCTCCCATTGCCTCGATGATCTTCTCGTGCAATCCTTCGAATTCCATTCGTATTCGTTTCAAGCTCGCAATGCATTCTTCAATCTGCTCTCTGCTTATTTCATCCGCTTTTCGCATACGCTCGATATTAATTTCGTTAACTTTGCCTTGGGGACCCCGCGGCGCCGACGTAATACCGTGAGATCTTCCGCCATGTCGAATCTCTCGGTCTTGTGAAATGTATCGGTTTTATGCTTGTCTCAATCGATCCGGCTCGAAGGACCAATGTTCGAATCGAAAATGAAAACTATTAGACGTGGCAATTCTTAAACAACTCACATTTATTGCCTCTAGATTATAAAAACGAACGGCTATATCTCGCTCACAAAAAAATGTTACTCTTGCTGTTAATACTAACGAAAATCTAAATTAAAACGGAAGAGGAAGATCCTGAGCGCCCCCTATCGCTCATACAGAGAAAGTGTTCTTTTTTACCGGTAATAACTCAACTACATTATCACTTACATGTGTATTAACACATTTTTCTTATCATTCTGATTCTGCGTTTTAGTCTTTGAGCAGCACCTATTATTGTGTTTAATAATGATAAAGGGCGGGGATAATAATCATTGGGCTGATACTTTTATTAGACTGCTCTATGTCCTGATCAAGTGAACTGCAATGATCACGGAACTTTGGCATTCTAACAATAGCATTCTAGCATTTAACACGGAGATAATCTGTGAAACACATAGCTTTTACATCAAAAGTGCTCATGGAAGTCTTAAAAGCATATTTAACGATCTTATGAGAAAATCGTCATCGAGCGACGCGATCATAGATTTGACTAAAGGCAGTCAATATCGAAATCTCAATATTATTTTTATCAAGCAAAATCTTTTCCATTACGGATTTAGGAATACGGATAACGCGATATTTCTCTCAACGCAAATTACATAGTTATTTTCAAGAACTTCGCGCTCAAATTTGCATGACAAGTCTATCCTGGTGATGCAAAGTTTTCAGAAGAGGATTATTATGACGCTATGTCCATACGGATATTTGTTTCATATTTCCTGACGATGTAATATATTATGTAATATATTATGTACTGCGAATATTTATTGAATAATTATTGAATGGTTAGTTATGTATAAAAGAAACTCATGCGATTCAATCGTTTATTTTTTCACTAGAAGATTTTTCACTAGAATTTTTCAAAGAAGGGTAATGAGAAGAAAATTGCCTCACGCGATTGGTAAAAGAAACACCTGTCTTTTCGATCCTATCATCTGAACGAAAATTAACACGCCGCCCTCCTACGCTGCGCAGCCAATAAATTCATTCGCAGTATTTGTGAATGCGTTCTTATTACATTTAAAGGTAACGTCACGCTCGAATGAGGTGAAAAAAATCGGCTAAGCACATACAAAGTAACGATGATGCGTCGCATGGCAAAACGAAGTCATTGGAAGAATAATAGAAAGCTGTTGGTGCAATTAGACTTTTGCTGATGCTGTTTTGACAGTTTTATTATCGTGCATTGTCAAAGAGTCGAAATCTTGAAGATGAAGTATTACGAAAAAGGTAAAAAGAATGATTTTAATTTTGATGGAAAATCTCAAGAGATTGCGGCATCAGCTACATCAGAATCTACTATCTATTATCCAAAAGCCAAAGAAAAATACCGCATTTGAACAACACCGAAAGCGCTAATAGTACTTCGCAAACTCTTGAAACTCCTTTAACATAATTTGATGCAGAGATGTACTGTTAGATATAAAAGGAGTAATGGTAACCCAATCTCTTAAATAAATAACATTTTGTTATTTTTAACTTCTATATGAGTCAAAATATGAATTAATCCATTTATGTGGTTAATTACGATATTAATTGTCCATATTAATGTATGCATTTAGAAAATAATAAATTAAATTTGAATCAAATTTAGTGTATTTTTTTGGTTAAACTCTCTGTTTAACTTTATTGTTTTAGTCAAATTAACAACTTATTGGACAGGAGCAGTGGCGGCCTACAGAGAAATGCTTAAAAATAGCTCCAATTGTGCAAAATTTGACATTATGAATTTAACAGTGGGTGCTTTCGATAACTCAAGTTTGGAATTAATTCCACTAGGAAAAATATGATAGACGTAACCACCTACCCAGATAACAAAATCTTCCTTGGAATTAGAAAAGAAATATGAAACTTAACACAAGTTTCTCTTCACTTGCCATTGTGTTGCTGTCACCAGGACAATAATAATTTCGTTTAGGGCAACTTAGAAGCATGCAGATAACAGTTGTTTGCGCAAACGAGTGGAAATGCTGTAGCAAACTTATTGCCATAAATGTTGCTACAATCTGTTGGAAATCGTTTTCGTAAAATATTGAGTCTGTATTTCTGTCAATCGAATGGAAATGGAGAGCGTCGCCGAGCAATATGTGGTACCGCTACCAGAGAGATGTATCGAGTTAAATTTCTCGATTTTGAAAAACGATATAAAATAGAATAAAAGATGTAGCATTAAAAGATTTTTTAGCTGTGTTCTAATGAAATAATTTCTTGAAGTGAGTCCCCGAGGGCTCTAAGATAAAAACATAATACTTTTTTTGAAATGTTTACCGAATAATCTCCTGATACTTTAAAATCACGCTTGTTACGTTTACTGAGGATTCTGATCACATTTCGTTCACATTCAGAGAGCTCGACAACGCTCGTTCAGTTAAAATGTCAGATTACTGGTAATTTACGGAAGTAATCTTTTAGCCATCTTCAATATAACGTTACAAAAAGACGATGATATAAGTTAACGTAAATAAGTAGTCATGAGGCGAACCACCACTCTTCCATGCAATCCCATACCAGTTAGACAGCTGAATGGTGCCAGTCGATTGATTGATCTCATTGGAATAAATTACACTATATTAGCCGCATATATGTCAAGTACCGAGTGCGATGTGTAGTCATTATATGTATAAGAACAAGTATTTTTTAATAGAACGATTGAGTTATAGCGTTAAATTAAGCGAGATATGGAACATGTGTGCTCGTTATCAGATCAAGATTTAACTGTGAGAGAGTGGTTCGCCTTCATGACTACTTATTTACGTTAACTTATATCATCGTCTTTTTGTAACGTTATACTGAAGATGGCTAAAAGATTAGCCGAAACGTTTATAATTTTATATACAAATTTGTAATATTTGATTCATGAAATAATAGTGCAAATACTACATCGCCAATTCCCATTAGCCCATTGTCTCATTTTATTTACTTGCATTTAAATGATTATAGTTAACTTTTTTAAATTTACAGTAACGCATTTTAAAACTGCACGATAATTTTATATGATTATATGTAATTTTAAGTAAATTTAATCTTAGCATAAATTAATAAAAGCATATCGCGTAAAATTTACAATTCGTAAAATTTTGCGAAATTACTTTTTATTGCTTCTCCAACTTTTTTTGCTATCAGCTAACTCAACTCAACATAAATAGATTAACTAACTCAATTCATGACATATAAGACAGCGTTGAGTTGTCATGAATCATAAAGGTACTAAGTGATTATGTCTATCATATTTTTTGGTCCCAGTGGAACTAACTCAAACTTGAGTTATCGGAAGTACCCAATGTAAGTTGCAATTTTAATTTTCTTTGGTCGTACGACAGGTGAAAAGTGTATAGACATAGAGGTATTCTGATGACACACGATAAAAAAAGAGGAACACTTGTTGTATGTAAAAATAATTAGAAAATTATTGAAATTTTTATAATTTTAAAGGCGTTTTAACAAAAATTGTTACATATATATACATATATACACCAGAAGCACTTACCCGAGGGAAATGTTTAAAGTCGGTTGAGGATAAAGTCCTTCAGCGATACACATAATTTCGACTCCATCTTTATTGTTCATAACCTTTTTCCTATACACGAGTTCGAACTTTTCTTCTGTGGCTGTAACAAAAATTAAATGATGTATTGTTTGCGTTTAATTTTCGGTAAATCTTAAAAGCAACAGACCCACTTATAATGAGATTAACCTTGACATATATAGTCAAGTTTATGGCCCTGAGTGATCAGAAGTTTTAATCCGCGTTAATTATTCATTCAAAAGTTATTAACAAAATAAGTTGTGATAGAACAAAGATTCTCTGCTTTAAAATAAATTTTCTGTTGTAAAAACAAAAAAATTTTTTTGAAAACGTTATTTTCTTGTTTAATTTTTGTTTCTAAAGCAGAGAATTTGGTTTTAAAGCAAAAATTTGTGATTTTGTAACGACTTTTCGAAGCGGAATCCATTTATGTTCCTCCCTGCTTGTGGGCGCACGACTTTCCACGCGAAGCGAGGTCCACTTCACTTCCCACCCTGCCCTGAGGAAAGACCTCCAACAAGTTTTAGCCGTTACTCGTTATTCGTTAAAAAGTTATTAACAAAAGAAGTTTAAAAAAATAATGTCTCATTTCTGCTATAACAAAAGTTGTAAACTTATGTAGAATCTCGCTTTGTGTTGTAAAGTGTATATGTGGATATAGTGGGTTTCGCCCCCCTCCTGCAAAGGAGCGCCCGACTTCCATAATTGTACTATTTGCAGGGGGGGAGGTGAAGTAAGAGTCGAAGGGGAAAGTTGTGCGCCCCTTTGCAGGGGGGAGGGGGGAGAGTCGAGGGTGAAAGTCATGCGCCGCTTTGCAGAATGGAGGGGAGGGGAGAGTCGAGAGTAAAAGTTGTGCGCTCCTTTGCAGGGGGGGGGGGAAGAGAGCCACCTAAAACTTGTTGGAGATCTTTCAGGATCATGACCTTGACAACATATGTCAAAGTCACGGTCGTCGGCACGGCATCCCTTACAGTGCACGATTATCAAACATATTTTAAAACAGGGAATTTTCGTGTTATAGTATAGTTGAACTTCTTTTATTAATAACTTTTTAATGAATAACGAGCAATAGCTAAAACTTGTTGGAGGGTCATGACTTTGACAACATATGTCAAGGTCACGGTCATTGGGGGGGAAGGAGTCCCCTGATCTGGAGTATTACCAAAAATATATAGGTACCTAGCAAATTTTGTTTGCGTACCATAGTAAAAATTAACTCTTTCCATGTTAGAATATAGCATAAGGATTGGTTTATTTCATTTATGTGATAAAAATTAGTATTACCATAGTAAAAGTTACGTCAGAATCATATTATGATGGTTCCATCAAAAAATACGAAACATAGTAAAATGTAATTTGAAATTGTATTAAAATTTAATATAAAATTTTCTCCGTAGAAACGTTTGAATAACCAGTATTGTAAAAATTTATTCAAGATATTCAACTGACTTCACATTTCGTATGGAGAATGCTAGATTGATCGAAAATGATAATACCGCGAAAAGTGTAATGACAGATGACGGATACTTTAGTTATTGCACGCCGATCAGTTTTTTATTGGACTTTTGCGAGGATTATAAACATGTGCTACTTATTGTTCGTTACGAATTGATTTTAATACGAGCGCACAACAATAATTGCCTTGCGGAAGATACGACGGCAGAGCCGACGCTTGAATTATTCAAAGTGTAGTGGCAAATGCCTTACGTTACGTTGAACGAAGTCAATAAACTATCCATACTGCGTGCCTTAGAAAACGGACGATATCTGAGTATGAGATTCCGCGTTCATGAAATCTGTACAAATACCCACTATTACTGAGTAAGACAAAGCACTTCTGGGCTACCAAGACTATGGCTCAATTAGGAAAAATACGATATGTTATCTTTGCTCTGCAAACTGATAAAAAAAATATCATGACAGCACGTGAAACTTTCTTCGCCCACTGTAAATTAACACTAGAATTGCCGGAATTGGATACCCTCCTAAAACCGCCAAACGTGCCAATTTGGCTCTTATGCTTTTCTCCTACTAATAAAACGTTATTTTGATATTATTTGCATTATTTGGGGTTGTATATACAGTATCTGTCAAAATTATATCACCTTTCGATTTTTTTCGAACACATAGTGATCTAGAACTCACTTAGTTTAGCTATTCACTTGGTACTGTGGCCTTATATAGGGGTCGAAAAACCAAATAGAGATATTTAATAGAATAGAAAAGGTTCGTGTTTGAGATTATATATAAAAATATAAAAACACATTGATACTTACAATACACTATCATTGAAGCGTTTGCCGTTCGTTCATCTGTATAGGTAGATATAACGCACGTATATACGCCGGTAAGATCAACACCTGGCTTATTTAATTTTATGGCTCGGTACTCAGTGTATGGATCATTGCTGGCTTTATACGTTAGATCGACGTACTTTGCCGCAGGTTCGTCCGCCAAAGGATACCTGCCGTAAATCCATTGGTAGACCACTTGATTGGTATTAAAAAACCACTTGACGACGAGACCCGTGCTGGATGTATTTTCTAGGTCGTAGTCACAATCAAGGATAATGTAATCGGTATCGTTAAATTTTACAGTAGCTGGTATGTTGATGCGTTTGATAATCAGCTGCCAAGATTCTGCAAACACAAAAGTATGTTTTGCTGTTGATAATATCAGAATTTCTACTGTATTAAATGTATACTTTATCATGCTATATCCCTTTGCATTGTATAAATACAGAATTACTTCATATAAATGAATGATGAAATTGAGAAGGAATAAGATTTATACTTTGACAAACGTGGATGATATGTTTGCAGAAAAATATAGGTAGTAAGTGGTTTGCATTGTGACAATTGTCAACGTACCTACATATTTCAATAATATACACAGGTCACCAAATTAACGCATAACTAAAATTATACAAAAAATTTAGCGTAACTTCAAAAAAGCACAACTCTGCGAAAAATTACTCATTGTCAGCTACACAAAATAAAAAAAATGTCATGTCCGAGAGACTAGATCCGTGTATCCCTGTATATTTTGAGGCAATAAAGTCAAATATACCTCGGAATCTGGTCAGGATTCTTTCTAACCTCAAAAATTTACCAAACATTCCTTAAAATTGCACTATTCAATCCGGAACCTTTCTTTGAATTAAAAATGTTATGCTGGTTTTTCTTACATATTTCAAAGTGCAAAGGTATATTAATAAATAGACTCTGAAACCCGAAGCTGAAGGAGTTAACAACTTATCCTGATGTTCCAATAAAGGATTTTATATCTTGCTCTTATTATTGCGCACTTTCCTGTTCTCAAAACTTTTTCGTAATGGCATTCTCTTTCGTTTCGTTCCTCTCCTTGGTAAATCTTTCAATGACCAGGAGTAATCAGTCATCATACTTACATCCCACCTTCCTTAATACCTACCTACGCCATATTTTTTTTATCTCTTGATGAAATCGTTCACCTTGAGCACTTTGAAGTATAATCCCACATAACAATGTATTTCCTTAGGATATCCTAATTTGATCAGATTGCTCCCATTCTGATCCAAACATTAAATCGTCCATATGATTAGCTCAGGACATTTGTAATTATTATTGTACTAATATAAAACGTCCCTAGGATATCCTATTTTGATCCGAAAAAATTCTCGCGGCGGTACTGTGTACTACGCCGCTTGGTTGCGCCGCGAGATGGACTCGTTTCTTACTTACTACTTAATTACGTTCCTTACTTCGTAAGGAGAAAATGACGCGGATCCCTATAAAAAAGCGTACACAAATGGAGTTCGCCACTTACACTTAGCTTGATCAGAGTGTGCTCATGGAGCCTCTGAAAGTGCTTTTTTTAAATAGAGCTATTCATAGTTAGTTTCTGTGACGCATACTCATTTCCTACATTTTATATCATACCGAGATGCGGATATACCCTCGTAAAAAAATACTACTGTGCAGTATTTTTTTACAAGGGTTTAACATCCTAAAAGACATTTTAGGACGTCCACTGGATAAAGACAGGATGAAATTTGTCATCCAGAAACATCCTAATGATATTTAAACGATGATGTCCTATGGATGTAGAATAAGCAGACATATAAACATCCTCAGTATATCGTAAATATCTCCTAAGTTTCTTCAGGTACGTACTCTGGATGTTTAAAAATCCCTCGATATATATCTGTAGGACGTACCTAGAATCAATTTTTGCTGTGTGGGATACATAAGAAAAACCTGTATAACATTGTCAATGTTGAGATAAAGGAAGGTCCTGTGTTGAATAGTGTAATTTTAAAGGATGTTTGGCAATTTTCTGATGTTAGATAAAAACCCTGACCTGATGGCGCAATTCTGAGGTTATATTCGGTTTCAGAGCCTCAAAATACATAGAGATCCATGGGTCTAGTCTCTTAAACATGACATTTTTTCATTTTATATGTGGCTATGTTATTGTATTTAAAAATGTCTTTTTGCATTTTCAAGGATAGAGTCTCTGTTTTAAAAATTATTAGTCATTGTTTGAATCAATTCTTTCCGTATTGGAGCACCTTTTAAAAGTAAGAACGTGTTTTGTTTCCTAAAGAATTCCATACTTTGACATATTATACGAAGCAGAATGAATTTTTCTCGTAAGTGTCGTGGTAATCACCGTAAAAATTTGGACTTTTTCCTACAAATTGAAAAAAGAGGAGTTTATACGATTTTTCTCGCAGAGTTACAGCATGTCAAAGTTACCCATGCATTTTTGCTTACAATTAGTTACCGCCAATATCCGATGCGCACCATGGGAAGATTACTGATCAGATTTAGCAATGTGCACATTTTCATCAGAACTGGGCGAGGCAGTAAAAAAACGTTCACTAACGAATCACGACTTTGTCCCTTCAGTTCCAACAAAAGAATTCCTGTTTGGCGTGGTTATGGACATCGGTTTGAAAGGAATTGCGTTGAACCTGTCCGAGCATTTGGTAATAATTTCATCATGGTATGGGGTGAAATATCAACTTGTACACTGGCACGAACCTCGTCAAATTACCACCTTCAGGAATGTCAGCGGTACGTTACATAGAATAAATTTTACGTCCTCACATAATTCCAATGTGTCGTCAAATGGAGCGCAATTTTACATTAATGCAGGACAACGGTCACCTGCCCACTTCAAGAATTACACGTAAATTTCTTGAGGAGAATAACATCGAAGTGTTGTCACATCTATCAATGAATCCGAATTTAAATCCTATTGAATATGTATAGGATATGATTGGAAGAAGGCTATGAAATTTGGATAGACATCCAACCAATCTCCAACAAATGGCAGTAACAGTACACCGAATACGGTACGAAATTTCTCAAGTTAGAATTATAGTTTGCATTAAGGGGATGCTGGAGTGACGGCCGAACTTGATCGAGGTCGATAAAATAAATTTTGTATCGTTCGCTTATGCCCTCTTCAGGCTTAGGCTCTCATGCGCTGTGAGCAGCTGTGAGCACTCACGTTTCCAGCTGTTTCTAACCACGCGCCATTTCCAGTCGCTCGATTTGCTCGTGAATGCTCACATGTTGTGTGTGAGCATTTAGACAGAACGCAGTCTGAAATATGATTGCGTTCTAAGTCACACTGTCAGAACTAAAAATCTGTAATATACGTAACGTAAAATACAGATCTTACTGACAGTATATACGGTTGTAGTAACATTTTTCGTTATAGTCTAATGTCATTTTAGGTTACATAATGTGTCATGAATACATGAATACATATATTGCACGTACATGTGTAACTACTTCACCTCTTTTTACTAAAGAAATAAGTTTTGTATGCTGAAATATATAAATATTAGTAACATGTATATACTTATATGACTTATATATACAATATTAGAATATTACATATATGAGTATTACAATGTATGGGTATACAAACATTAGAGATAGAAATTACTTATGCTGATATTTATGCTGATATTCTCTATGTTTATTAAATGCAATATTACAATTTTCTGTGTATGGTGTATATATATATATATATACGCGGCGTGACAATAAAATTCGGTGAATATTCTTATATTCAGTTTGTAAACGCATGCAGCAACCAAGTTGTGGCATCATACTTGTTATAGATTAGCGAATCTAGAAACACATTTCAGCATGTTGCACATCTATCCTTAACTGACGCGCGGCTATATTCTAGATTCGCTAATCTATAACAAGTACGATGCTGCAACTTGCTGCATGCGTTTATAAACTGAATATAAGAATATTCACCGAATTTTATTGCCACACCGTGTAGTATGCAACTTTACGTATTATGTCAGCGAGCCTTTTTCTTAGCATTTGGATGAGTCTATTTTTATTTTTGCTATTCGCAAGAAATTTTTCTTGTCGAATTTTTAAAGGCATGTCTTCTTTAAATATCAATTCGGTTGAAGCATTTTTAAATGAGCGACGATATCTTTCAGCCGATTAAGTGCATTCCTTATTATATCCGTCAAACACTACAAAAACATTATTGCCATAATTATTTCCGGTACTCGGAAGGTTTATCCGCTGACCGAATTTTCCCCAAAACGAATTGAGGCAGAATTTAGCGACAGAAAGTAATCCGGGATTCCGTTTGATATTGTTTTTATCGAGAACGATATCCTCGGTTACTTCGTACTTCCGAAGGTATCGCTCTTTAGCGACATTGTCGTTCCCAAACTCGCTCGGCCACCCACTCTTCTCTTGCTTCAATTATAAGAAGCTGTTAATATATAATAATCAATAAACAATCCTTCCTGGCGTGTAACGGAATTATAATGTGACATTTGTACTGCCAGATTTCATCTACCCTCGTCACAAGATAACCCTTCTCAATTGTTTAACGCAATTCACACGACATCCATGTGTCCTCAAACTCACGTTCCGCAGGGTCATCGTGAGTGCATGCAGATTACGAAAATGTTTCGCAGCATAGACAGATAGATAGATAAAGGCATTTATTGATATTCGAACCCTCTAAGAATACAAAATGACGAGATTTTACATTGCACAAGAATATTATGTAAACAATAATAACTATAAACAATAACATTTACTATGCAAGATAGTTAAAGCATATGCTAATAGTAATAAAATTATATTACATGAGATCATAAAAAAAGTGAGTATACTACAAAGATTTTACATTTAAATTGACTAATAGAAAGAAAAAGAAAGCTAATGCAGTAAAATAATGAGAGCAGTTTACGAGGACTGGCCATTTTTCTGCTGCATGTGCGATAAAGCGAGAATAATAATTTTCCGTTCACACGATACGGTAATACCGGATGGAAAAGTTCGCGTGAATACACGACATCGTATGAGACTTATGATCTGCTCGAAATTGAAATTTGATGCTTCTCCAATCAATGCGGAACATTCGTCCCCTACGTAGACTTCGGGATGCCTGATTGGATAAACACCGGTCTTCAATACGTACGGGTACAGAGAACATACGTCTATATAACGTATCTTCTCGTTACCCGTGACTTCGTATCTTGTCGCGATATTACCGGTAGGTCCACCAAAAATTGTTCACTCCGGACCAAAAACTGGTACGGACAAGCTGGTACGGCCACGTTTAAATTCAGCTGCCCAAAATTTCACGGTGGTAAATG